AAAAAAGAGCATAAGTTTTTTTTTAAGACGGCAGTTCAGGCTGTCATGGATCTTCTGTAATCTCCACGTAATAAGTATTTATATATATAAGTATTTGTATATTTAAAAATGATTTTTTAAAATTTTTTATTATCTTTTATTGTTTGTAGTCACATTATTACCAATCAAAATATATGTTCATATTGTAATCTCTTACCGCTTCTGACTATTCCATATTCTCTTTTAACATTTCGTTTTGGACAACTAACTTTCATACCACCTCAAAATCCGTTGCCACCACTAATTTTCTAGTCGCGAATCGGGCCATAATTTTATTTTTTTGTAATTGCATTTTTAGAAATTGGAAGATTTGGTCCCAAACTATTGATTTTAAATGAGACTAGCATAAGTCCTTTCGCTTTTGATGGGTTATTAACTAATTGTTGGCTTGTATCTGATTTCCATTTTAGATTACTGGTGGAAAGAAGCTTCAGCAGAACACAATATCATGATTTCAACTAGATAATTCCTCTTTTGAAGTTTACTAGTCAATTTGTATCGTTAAACAACTCAACAAAATAAGCTTTAACAAGTACTTGGAGAGCCTCAACAACGCTGTTCTGGAATCATAAATCAGTCATTAATATATCTCTCACTAGTGCTGGAATGAAATTTTTTTTATCTTTCACTTCATGCTTTTATAATATTTTCGGATCAATCTTAGTGCCATTTTTTCTAGCATGTATTTGTTTGACTCTTTAACTATTTTATTTTCCAAATTGACTTAGTGATGAAGGTAGGAAATAATCAATTATGGAAAAGAAAATAGTTAAAATGCTACAAAAATACATGCATGCATGGAACAATGGCACTGAGAGAGATCAGAAAATACCATAAAAAGCACAAAACTGATCATAAGAAAATTTCCATTCCAGAAACTAGTGAAAGAGATATCATTACAACTTTACTATTTCAGAAGTGTTGTTGAGACATTTCAAGAAAATGCTGAAGCATATTTTGTTGAATTTTTTGAAGATACAAATTTGTGTATAGTACATGCCAAAAGAGCGACTATCACTAAGGATTAACAGCTTGCTAGAAGGACTCTAGACAATCGACATTGAAATCATGATATTGTATCTTTTAAATTTTGGGGTTATTATTCTCATTTTAATGCATTCCTGAGATTATTTTCAAGTAATAAAATTTGTTTGGTTGAGATTTTCTTCTCTTGATGGACACTATTTTGTTGATTTAAAGTCAGACTAGATTGAACCATGATCCAAACGTTTGTATTGTTTGCTATATATATATGAACTTCTATTCATTAATCACTAACCTTGTCAATAATGCCACATCTCCAATAAACTTTGCTTCCTTGTCAATAATGCTCACAATTCTTTAGTACGTCTCCAATGCCTACCAAAAAACAAAAAACAGACAAAAAAATGATCAATATCAATCTCCACTTAACATCAGCCAATGAGAATCCAAAATATTTCAGTGGACTTTCTAGAAAAGATCATCCCTTTTTCATAATAGAACAACAATATTGATTCATAAATACTAAACTTTAAAATTTTTAAATAACTACCTAAATAAGAATAAGAGAAAAATAATCGTTAAAAGAATTAAAAATCGTTATTTTTCTGTTTTAGTTAATTATTTAGAAACTTTAAAGGTAAGTATCTATGAATAATTATTGTTTTTTTTTTTTTTTTTTTTGCTAAGAATGTTAATATTTCATTAAATGAAAATTTTTAGGTGCTACATTAAGTAGATCCTAAAGTTTGGTCCTATGGCAAAAAAGGATAAAAAAACATGGAAGCAAAATCAATCACTCCATTGACATCAACAAAAGCAGTGACGCTTTCGGACGCTTTCGGAATTAATGAAGCGATAAAACGATCATTATTGTTGTTCTGTTATGATAAATAGGGATGTGATTTTCCTAGAAAGTTCATTAATGTATTTTGCATTCTCATTGATCGTTGGTTAACTAATATACGGTTGTTCTAGTCTTAAAAGGTGATAAGGAATTAACGGTTATATCTGTTAACACAATTTTCATGCATATAAGTGGCATCTTAAAAATTCATTAGATTTTCTTTGATACAACTTAGAAGAATCTGTTATCAGTGGCGTGCTGCTTCTACTCCAAGTTCTGTTGACATGATGACAACTACACAACAACAAAGGCTATGAATACAATCAAAACATCAAACATGTTTGTGAAATTGGCAAATAATATTACAAATGATTTAGAGTGTGAGAGTGTAACGTTACCCAACAAAACGTTAAAAGCACATCCCAACATGGAGCCAGGACACTAGAACACCAAAAATATCACGATCCTCAAATGAGAGTAAAAAGCCAGTGAGACGTGGTATGTTCTTCAAGTTTCAACCAGCTGAAACAATGTAATGATCCATATCTCTTTTTCCGGTTAACATGTCCCCTCTATTTTAAAATCCACTTCCAAGAACTCGGTTATCTAAATCAACTACATAATATACTTGCAACAATGAATAAAGAAAAACTGGTACTACAAACAA